CGCTCCCCCGCGTGCGGCTGCCGCGCAGCTCCGGTTCCGCCTCCAGCCCGTTCCGCTCGGAGCCGAGACTACCCCGACGACCGGAGACGTGAACTGTCTATTCATAACCCATTTTCTATGCAAGATCTTATTTCACAGGGAAACTAGAGGCTGTAAATATATATACGTATCACAAGCAGCAGAGACAGGAGAGAAAAGCAGAAGACAAAAGCAAATAACATATATTCTTAATGTATGGCACCTCAGGCCTCCCCCCATTGAGTTCTTTAGCCCCATCTGTCCTGGCACCGCTTGGATTTATTTCAAACACTGGCTTGAGTCAGGTCTGTCTCTGATGGCATTTTGAATAGCTTCAGGCTGGTGCTGACGCATAGAAAAATGGCTACGTGCTGTTTTTAACAGATTTAAAGAACAAACTGTAAATCAGACAAAGCCTGTAAAGCCCTGGCGAGTGGTTGTTCTTCATCAGGCTACACCAAGGTAAATCTGGCAGAGAATGAAAATAGCCAGGCAGCTACACTGTTGACAGGAAACAAAACTGTGATCAGACTGGCACAGAGCACAGGGAAAAATGAACAATGTTTTCTTTATTAATCCATCTTATTATATAATGATCATTAAGGCTATAAACAAAGTACAAGTGAAAATTAATCTGTGCTTACTGAGTATGCAGATTGGCGTGTGGTTTCCTAGCTGCAGGAAGTCATCAAATTGGGACCCATCTTGTTCTTATTCAAGCAATTTTGAGGTTAGTCTGTTTAAAAAGTATGGTTTTAGCAGGTACTTTGATTCCCTCTGCACAAAAGCAAGATGTGAATCGAAATAATTAAAATAAAACAAATCCACAAACTAATTCTCCAATCTCTGAGATTTGCCAAGAAGAGTTGCCATGGGTGGTTTGCTTGGCTGCTAGGAAAAGGATTGAGCAGATTTGGGCCCTAAGAGGAGAAAAAAAAAAAAAGAGAGAGAGAAGAAAATAGATACTTTTAGGTCTATGTATTTTATATACCTTGTCAGAAAGATGGATCCTCTGTATTTTCTGCTCATGTGGAAAACAGCCTCTGAGAGGATTGTTACCTGTCTAAGCAGCGAGCACGCTCCTGACAGGGACTGTTCTCACATATAGGAATGTTTATGGTGGTATGCATATTTAGCACAGGAAAAACAAGTGGCCTAAATTTATTTCTGAACAACTTAATCTAAAAACAAAACAAAAACAACAAAAAAGCTGTTTCTTTCCCTGAGCTAGAACATTTCAGCCTTTGGTGATTAATTGTCCTGTCACAGCAGGATTGGGGCTTGTTTTTTTTTTGTTTGTTTGTTTGTTTTGTTTTTGGTTTTTTGTTTTTTTTTTTAAAAAAAAAGAGGGGAGGAAAATTATTTTGCCCACTTATGAAGAAAATAAGAATTTATATAGGGATATGTGTATATGTATGTATACACACAAATATATATTCACTGATGCATATGTGTATAGGCACTTGCATTTACAAGATTTTAACTGTTGACCTTTTCTTTTAATAGAAGTCAGATATTTCCAAAATTTCAACGTGCTATGCAGCTCTGAGACTAAGAAATAGAGCTGCGTTGACTCCGTTCTCTTGGATATGGAGAAACACTGTCACATTTCAGGCCATCTACTGACCCTTCTCCAGGTAAGGACAAATTTTCTTTGCATACCAACATGATGCAGCTGGCAAAGCAAACTGTGTGGGGCTCAAGAAGAAAGATGCTTTGAAGAGGAAATGACTGGTGGTTGGATGCTGCTGGAGGCATTGCATTTGAAGAGGTTGTTTTGTTCACATAACAAAAAGAGGGAAGCAGCTTGAGAACTGTGTCAGCCATTTCAGATTTCACTGAAGATAGCAGGAGTTAGACAAGCCAAAATGCATGTTTAGCCTTCAGCGAACATACATACCGAAAAAGAGCTGGCTGTCAGCCCTGCATGTCAAGTATAGTCGTCCCCATCCTGCAGGAGTGAGTGGTCCCGTGGGCTACACTGGTGTTTTTTGTGTGTGGAGTAGGCTGGCTCCTGTAAAACCCTAGTAATTTCATACAGACTACAAAGCTGTTCCTTCTGCTTGGTTAATGAATCCAAGCATAAAAGCAACATGTGGCAAACTAACCATGAAAGAAAAGCCTCATTAATGTATTGTTCTAGAGGACAATTATAAAGGTGTCACTAAGGGCAAATGGGAGGAATATATCCTCATTAATTGTTTAGGAAGATGCTTGCAAATTGCAGGACTTTCTTGAATTTCAGTGTAGCTGATTTAACCTCTGGAGATTCTTTATTGAAGTTTAATGTTTTTCTTGGGATGTTCTTTTTGTTTTATTTTTTGCGGGGGGAGTCACTTGATTAGGGAGTTCAGGCAATCTAATTTGGTGTTGGTGATACGGACAAAGAACAGCAAACAATTCACAGAATATAGATTTTACTGATTGTTTGGTTGCTAAATGTTTATCTTCATCTTGCAAGCACATGGGCAAAAACTGCAGGAAATAGCATGATTCACTTTACGTGAATTTCTTCAGTTCGCAGGGACAACCTACCAGGGACTGTCTGGTAAAAAACAGGTATGCAGCAATAGGGTCCTTAGAGTTAATTAGGGATTTGGTCATGAAAAGGGTTTAACATGCTCAAATCCTATTAACTTCTAAGGCAGTTGTGATTACTATGCCCCTTTTAAGATCATGACCCAATAATTTTAATTGCTATGGTTTAATTTATTTCATTGCTAAACTGTCATCTCTTCCTTACTATCATATTACACATCCATTCATGGGAATGTTGCTGGGGAGGACGACTCAATAAACATAGGATATTTCCATCTTGCAGCTAAATTCAAGCTTGGATAACCGAAACGCTGTTTGCTTATCCTTCTGCAGTTGCAGTTGGGTGCTGGGTTCGAGTCTGATTCGCATGTGCATTCTGAGGATGTTTGCAAAGCATTTTATTTTATATTTATACACACACATATACAAATCACTAAATCAGCTTCATTCCCTAATGGATGGGATGGACGAGTGTGGAATCCTCACGTAAGCAGCAATCTACGAGACCTTCGGTGCTAGCTGAGCGCTCGAAGAGGAGCCGGTGGCAGCGCTCCGTGCCGCGGCGCCGCACGCCCGGCGCGGGCCTCGT